GATATTTGAAAACCAATAAACTAACCTAATATTTAAAAAATGTCCGAGATTAAACCGTATATTATCAATTGTTGAAATTAATATTTTGTACGTTTTTCAACATCGGGCAGTGGATCGTAATGGAAATACTAAAATAAATGAAAAATGAACGAACATGAACGTTTAACCTAACATATGTTGAAATTTGTAATATATTTTAGCGTTCAAAACATATTTGACAAGCAACACAGGTATATTCAATACGATCATCATCGTCGCAAAATAACGAGCACTTTTTTAAAAAATCAGCTAAATTGCATATTAAAATTGTTCAAATGGTGGTAATGAAATACTCACGACATTTTTCTTCCATCCATGTTTTAATGGAAGTACGATTCTCCGATTAATATGAAATATAATGTAGAATTAGAAGTTTAAAAATTACTTCGAGAGTACGTCGTCTTACTACAGGAACGTGATTTTTGTCATTAAATGCATGCAACGTTTTGAACTGATGTCGTTTCGGTTGATAGCAGAGGATGGAATTCAATATTTTAGTACTAAAAGTGGACACGGTTGCGCCAAACTGGCGCTACTGAGAGACAAACCTAAATTGTAATCCATGAACGGAGCATAAAAGTTAGGGCCAATGCACATGAGCCATTTCCCAGTCAAGGTCATAAACTATAGTTTAGCAGATAAGTGAGTGCGTTATTCAAATGAGACACCCTGTATAACATCGCATATTAAAGTGACCTTTTAACAAATAATTTTTTTTTTACTAACATTTCAATATTTCATCACGAGCGGCTAATTAAAATGTTAATCTAACATTAAATTCGTGATCAGTTACCATGAAAACCTTAGGAAACGGTATGTTTCCAAAGTTTTTAATGTGTGGCCAGCAGTTGGTCATCTTTGAACATGATGCGATGTTGTTTGCGCTTCTATTCATTCGACTTATGAATCGTGAAGATCTATAATTGTTAATAACATGAAAAATAAATCATGTCATATTTAATCATAACTTTGTCTGTTATTATTCGATGCTGTCATAAAAATACAGTATTCCTTCCGAGAGTGAACAAAAGATGTGCTCCGGAAGTGAATGAATGTTATTGACACAGCTCCGTCTTGAATTCGCTTTTGCAACAATGTAACACGATCCAAGGAAGATATCGGCGAGGCAACTCTAATGTAAAGACAAAACTCTATTATTAATACACCAACGTATTTATGAGATCCTTTTAATGAAAATGAGATCAAACATGATATAATTTCGATTTAATTTATTTATTTAATGAATCAGAAAAATTTGGAACGCAAAGAAGAACAGCGTTCGGAATGAAAGCCGCGGAGAATCGAGACCGCTGATTGGTTAATTATTATAAGTTATGACAGCTCGAGCGGACAAATTAGTCTCAAAATAAGGAAAGTCGTAAATAAATCTTTAAAAATCAGCGGCGATTGATGTTTGAAATATTCGTCCTGCAATTTGATTCATTTAGTATTCATTCATGATAGTACGATGTTGAAAAGTTGGTTGCTATTTGGGCTAGTAAACCTGTATGTCAGTATCAAATGCTTTCTGAATGAGATGATGTTATTGATTATTCTATGTATTTATGCCTATATATTTCACGTTTGTTGCAAAATTCAAATTGATGGTCGGGCATAAGATTTTTTCCCACGATTTATTTCATTCTATTGAATAGTATTCTTTGCAAGATTTTTAACATAATTGAAATATTGAACTAAAGAGGTCGGTATGTATTAATAGAGGTCGGTATTAATTACGATTTATGATTGTCACACTTTTGGTGAAAAATAGTTCTAATATAATGTGATAATGTGTTCTGCACGTAACAAGTAGTTTGCGTGTGTGTGACCTTTGAAAGTCGAATGTATGTATTCTTTCTGGTCTTGCGTGTATGAAGTGTTTGAAGTTAATGAATTCGTGCCTTCCTATTGGCTGAAGTATGTTGATGGTTTGGTAAAGGCGCGAGGCTTAAGGCTTGAATAATCGTATCCCCTTTTTCCAAGTTATCCATTTTTGTTTACAAGCTGAGGGACAATTGGGGAAAAAATTGACTGTATCTTTATGAGATTTTCCTCGCACTCAAATGGTGGTAATGATAATTTTACTTCACGGCCGTCACGTGAAGAAGTAAATAAACAATGTTCCTATGTTGACGCACCCGCCGCCACAGTCTAAATTAGAGCTACATAAAGAAAGCAGTTATTTAGAATCACGCTCCTGATAAGATATTTAAAAATCACCAAAATCGATGAAGTGTGTACTAATCTATACAATAATGACTAAAAACAATATAGATTATATAGAAAAATATATCAAAAACTTTCTTTTCTCAGAGTTTACTAATTGTAACGTGTTTTAATTGTTTTGCTTAGAACGGAGACTGAAAAGTCTGTATTTTCTATTTTAAACTTTAGTAATTTACTGTTTTGAAATATGTGATAAATGACGATGTTTTGAATCACTTCGAGATGTGAAAACTACGTGACACATCCTGTAGATTAAATTTACATATTACCAATTTAATTTTGGAGTCTTATGATGGAATATTATAATCATCGTTCTACTCTTGCATAATTTTAGAAATCATATTTTTTAACAAATTTATGAATAATGTACAGAATATTAAGTATATAGTGAAGTAGATAAACAACTAACTCTTTTATTTTAACTAATAGTAAATATATTTAATTATAAATAGGACAAATCTTTGGTTTAACTCT